GGATGCCTGACTTAAAGAATTATCTATGGAGCAGCTAAGGTGAAAAACCGGAGCACACATCTTCCAAATGTTAAATTAAAACCCGCACTTAAAAAAAATTACATTTCAAAAAAAAATTACATTTCAAAAATAGTATTTATCACTTTCCCCCCTGTGGTAATTAGTGCTCATGATAGTTTTTAAATATGCAGATAGTTCAGACTCTTTTCATTATTAAAACAAAACAAATGCCTCACTTAAGAGCCAAACAGTGGAGAGTTAGTGGAAAGTTCCTCTGCTTTATTTTTTCATCTTTGGAACTTACATTCTGCGTCTAGTTTTTGTATCAAGTTTCAATCAAGTGCTACTGATCACATAAACCATTCTGTTTTTCATGTTTAGTATAAAAATTCACCTTGCTGGGCCAGGTGCAGTGGCTCATGTAATCCCAGGGCTTTCGCCCAGGAGGCGAAGGAGGAGGATCACCTGAGGCCAGGAGTTTCAAACCAGCCTGGGCAACATATCACAACACTGTCCCTACAACCAAAACAACAGTCACTGGTGAAGTAGCTCAACTCGGCAAGACTTAAAATTCCAGGACTTTGCCTTCTAATGGAGGATGAAAGTCTGCTGAGAAGTAAGTTCATGTAACAACAAATCAACTTTTACCTGGGAGTTCCAATTTCTTTTTTTCTTTTCTTTTTTTTGAGACAGTCTCATTATGTCACCCTCAATAGAATATCATACCATCACAGCTCACAGCAACCTTAAACTCTTGGGCTTAAGCTATTCTCTTGACTCAGCCTCCCAAGTATCTGGGACCACAGGCCCCCACCATAATGCCTGGCTATTTTTTGGTTGTAGTTGTCGTTGTTTGGCAGGCCCAGGCTGGATTCGAACCTGCCTCCTCCGGTGTATGTGGCTGGGACCCTCACCACTGAGCGACAGGCCCTGAGCCAATGGAGTTCCAATTTCAAAGAACAGAAAAATAATTTTGAAGGTATATAAGAAAAGAAGCTTCAAGGTTGTATATGAAAAGATACTTGTTGGGCTGCTCCTGTGGCTCAAAGGAGTGGGGCGCCAGCCCCATATACCAGAGGTGGCAGGTTCAAACCCAGCCAAGGCCAAAAACTGCAAGAAAAGAAAAAGAAAAAAAGATACTTGTTTAGAAACTGCAACAATATTTGATAGATGATAGGAAGGTTAAAGTTTACACACTCAAAGTCTTCAAAATATTGTGAGCAAATAAATAAAATCAAAGAAACTTTCACACCAGTTAAAATAGCTTTCTTTGGCAATTATGGACTAGATTCTTGGGTAGATTTCAATATAGTCTCCTGAAAAGCAAACTCAAAACAGAGAATAAAAGCAAGGATAAACACACACACACATGCACAATGCCAATGTGACTTCATGGCCTAAATTTCAAGAGGCAAAAAAGCCCAGGAGTTCATTAAATGCTACTAGAGTCTAAAAATAGCAAAGAAATCTCTGAACTACCCATGTTTCACCAGTTGGCACATCTGAGGGAGAGCTCCTATGTACATTGATACATTATCCTTATCATTGTAACCGACGCCTCACACTCCTCAAGCCATCAGATGCAGTCCTGAATGGAAGGGGCATTTATCTTTATGTAAGATGATCATCACTTTCAAGGTCTAACTGATCTCAAATTTCCTAACAGCTTAAATCATAATACTACAGGAAAAAAAGAACACACAGCATTACTGTGTTCCTGACTGCAATATGATCTCACATATCAGAGTACACTAATGAATTCTGGCTTAGTGAGTTCTGATATTATGTCAAACTACTTGAGGGAAAAGACACACCTTATGCCCAGATTTTACTAGCTGACCAGATCCCTTTCTCCTAGAATGGGTAGGAGGTTTAGACATTGTCCAGGGACCCGGAGGAGCTAGCAGAGGAACACATATTTTTATTTTTTCTAAAATAATGACCTAGAACTTTATGAGACTCACCATAGACTTCATAGAGCCTAGTTTTCCTAAAGAAAATCTTCACAAGAAGGCATTCTCCCCCTTTTAACTTTTTTGCAGTAACATTCTTTGCAGAATGATATTTTCAAAGCTTGAAACTATTTTAAAAGTATTGTATCTTGGCAGAATCCTATTCTGTCTTAGGGAGTCTGGACAAGTCTCCAAATTGATTACCTGAGAATCTCCAGGAGATATAATGAAAACAGGTTCCAGGATCTCCAGATTTATTTAAAAAGGAAATAACACCATACAAAATATAGACTAAAGTGATAAAAATAATAACGTATTATGAATAATTATAAGGTAATAAAACAGAAAACAAAAGACACATTCTTATAAAAATATGAAATTCCAAAATTGACATAATAATAAAGCACTTAAATACACAAAAACCCACAACTGAGACAGAGAGTGAAATAATCAGAGAATGACCCAGTAAAAAATTACGTACGCTGAGTAATGACAAGCAATGTATTTCCCCATGTATTGACACAAAGAAAATAAAGTTCACTCTATAAAGTGACAAAAGCAGCAGAACTACATAACATGATGCTATTTGAAGATTTATATATACATGCACTCACATGCTGAGATGTCTGGAAAATTATACACCAAACTGTTCGAAGTGGTTTCTTCTGGGGTCCTAATTAGGGCAGGGATTAGTTCCAACTTTACAAATTCTACGTTGTTTCCAATTCTTACTAGTATATATTACTTAAAACAACATTGAGAATTATCAGAAATTTTTTTTGCCCAGATAACTAAGTGCAGAAGAAAATTGTCTGGATTGAAAGCTACCAGTAGTAATACATTCATGCTTTGTTTCTGAAACAGGACGGTAGTCCTCTAGAAAGTGGTCAGGGGAAAGACTGCAGCCCATTCCTGTGACCTGCAAGAAGCCAGCACAGGGGCTGTGAAACCTGGGCTGCCAGTGCCCCGCAGTGTGAGGACAGTTTTCTCAGAGACATTTTCAGCTTCTGCTCCATCGACACGTCTTCTTATATTCATTTAGAACAGCTCCCAATGTGCAGCGTAACCAGGGATACAATGAGGGCTGACACACTATGTCCTGGCACATATATTTCCCTCAAATGAAGCAGTGCAGTTGCAGGTGGCCACAGAAAGAGCGTGTGAGCAGGTCCTTTTTCATTATTGCTTCTAGATAAGGAATTACAATGGCCTCAGATTTTCTAAGAAGTACATTCTTTTTCTCACACAGAGCAATGCAGGGGCAAGAAGAAATAATCCAGCAGTGCCTAAAAATGGATATTGCAGAAACTGGAAAGTGAGGCAGAGCCTGTATACAAACTACTTTCTTAAATTTATGAAATTTAAAATCTGACAGGAAGATCCTACCAGTATTCACATAAAGGGGGCAACGATCAAATCCAGGCACAATGAAGTACTATTGTTGTTGCTCCAGAAATGGAATTCTAACAATCTGGGTTCCTGACTAGTGCGAGGTTCGAATATACTGCCACCAGATAAACACTAGGTGTTGATGAAACAGCTCTTGTTCAAAACTGAAAATTAAAAAAAAGAAAAAAAGAAAAAGGTAAGGAAAAAGACTCCATAATAAGCCAAAAGGAATCATGACAATATGCAGGTTTATTTAAAAAAAAAATGGAAAAAGAAGAGAAATGAGCTATCATCATAAAACTTCATAGGAAGAGATTTTAAGCTTGGAGATCCCACATGTTCACAGCATGAACCTACAGCACCTTCTGACTCCTACTCTCCAGACTTGGTGCTTCCTGAAGGCAGAAAATAGGGATCTCACCTTTAAATTCCGACCACATCACTGACACTGAAACACACCCATTCAACTGCAGGATTTTAAAACTCTCCCTAGAAAATGTTCTGAATCCAGAGTTTACATTCCCACAAGAGCATCAGTCTCTCTCGTTATCTTAAGCTGGAAAATTGATGATGGTAGACATAGATTGGTAGTTCTGTGCAGAGATGTGCTAATGTACCCAGAAACTAGAATTTAGGCTTGTCGTAAGTAGAGGAAATCAGTTTTTCGATCCTTTTTGCCCATAAGGTGCTAAAAGCCTTTTGATTGTGCAGTAAAACACACTGTATCTTTTACAAGCTATTTCCAATGTTACTTCAGATAGTTAACATAGGACTCATTTGCAGAAAATTCCATGCTAGGTTTTGTTCTAAAATCATTGAATGGGTAACAGTATAGGCTCTGAATAGAGATTACCTGAATTCGAGTACTAATCTAGTATGAAATCACACCCTGAATAAGATAGAGCTTGTCTCTACAAATAAAAAAATAAAACAAAAAGAAAACAAAACCAAAAAAATCAGCCAGGTGTGGTGACATGCCCCTGTAATCTCAGCTTCTTAGGAGGCTGAGGCTGGAAGATTGCCTGGGTCCAGAAGTTTGAGGTTGCAGTGAGTTGTGATGGTGCCATAACACCGTAGCCCTAGCAACAGAGTGAGATCTGGTCTCAAAAAATACCACAAAACTGTGTGAAATTAGTCAGATCATCTTATTGACCAAGTTTTCGTTTTCTTATCAGGAAAATAGGTTGTGGTAAGGTAAGTGCTTTGCTCAGTACTGCTTGGAAACTGCTTCCTGTCCCTTCATAGCTCCACACAGGACAAATGAATGAAACGTGTGAAATAATACCTGCATTTATTGTATTCTTCACTAACACTAAACTAAGCAGACCTGTCATCTCTCAGTCTGCAGCAATAACATACATATATGGATACATACAAATACATACAAATGGGTAGAAAACTGAATATTCATGATTTCAAATTAGAAAAACACTCTCAGGTAAATAGTAGACTATTATACTGACTTAAGGTTTCATTTAATTAGTTAAAACTTGTAATAAAAAATATTTTACATGAGACTATTGAAAAAGGGTCAGTAATTCATTGTAAGTTAAGTCACTAACTCTATACATCTGACTGCTCTATTAGGCTGAGGTGCAATGGAACAACTTCTAATACCACAGGGGGAAAAGAAAAGAAATGATCAAACGAAGCACATAATTCAGGTTGAAAGAAACAGATTTATCCTAAAATGGTCAATATCAGCATTAAAGCAATTTTGCCACATCTACTTAAAGCAAATCACTTTGAGTACCCCGTAGCTCCCTTAGACACACACTTCTCGAAGCAGTGCTATTTAAGCAAATCCTTCTGTATAAAAACCAAACCTGTAACAATTATTTACCTTGCACCCAGTAAAAGCCAAGAGATTTAAGGTAAGGACATTTTCTAATCCCATATCCATGTTAAAATTATCAACTCTGCTCATACAAAAAAAAAAAAAAAAGAAAAGAAAAGAAAAAGGGCAGGAAAATCAGCCCAATTAGGGATGGTGAATGACAGAGAAATCAGTGACTGATAGATGGAAAAACCCATAGGAAAATGATTTTTAGCACAAGGAAACAAAACGTCTTCTCTGTAAAGGGGCTGTAAAGAGTAAAGGCAAAAACACACTTGTTTATTCCGCGTCTCTTTTTCTTGTAGGTCCTGTGAAGCCATCCACCATGCTGGGTATCTGAAGCAACAGGAATACTGTTCACATACTCACAAGAAGAGAACACAATGTCTATTTTCCAAAAACATCTAAAACAGTGGTGGTTCAGACGGAAATGTGGATGATATTTCCAAGATTAAATTTCTCATTTTTATAACAAACTCACAAAAAACCCCCAACTCACATTGTCTAAAATTACAATATTTTGCATATGCTAAATTGAATGGCGATATTAGATAAGATCTTCTGCAACTGTGGTATCAAAAATCTGATAGCAAATTTTCTGTTCCATTCCATTTGTGACATTGTATGACTTGATGAGGCATTCCAACCATGGATATGCATCTACAAATAAAAAAATGGTATTTAATCATTAAAACTAAACAACTCTGAAATATGTATCTAAGCATAATGCTGAGCAAGAAAAATTAACATTTAATTTAGCTTGAAAAGTAAATACATGCCCTTACTAAATTTAACATTAAATATGCTGCAAACACACACTGGATTCATGTTATTATGCAGCATTTGGGACTAGTTTGAATTTTTTTCTTTCCAACAGCAGATAAACATGATTAAATCTGGGATCTTCAAAATGTTTGATAGCAAAGGTCATAAAGAATCTCATCCCCAATTTTTATTCCATTTTTCTTGCTGTATGCTACTGACATCCTTGTTTTTTT